TTATCGGTGTTGTAACCAGAGCCGAGGGACTTAATTTCTCTCTTTCAGTTTGCTTTTCTGTAAAGTGGGGATAATGATAGTTCCTACCCTACACAGGAGTGAGGATTAAATGTGTTAATGTATGTAAAGCATTTAGAATGGAAGTGGGAAGTGCGTGCTAACCACCAGCTATTATTACTTTGCCCCAGAACAGCAGTGCTCTCTGGCTATGGACCCAGCAATGGCTTCAACACCTAAATATAAGATATAATTTCAAGATATGGGGGAGAAGCATAGGAATAGAACTTAGGGAAGCAAGGAGAGTCTCAATCTCAGGCCTGACCAGTTTGGGCAAGTCATGGTAGTGCCTAGGGCCTTATTTTCACTTTTGGCACAAGATGGAGAAACCCAGGATTTTAGGGACGCATAAAAGTGATCCTGGAGGTTCTCCAGCTCTGCTGAATGTTGCAGACCTATAGGAAATCATACAAGTATTTAAAAGTGATAAGCTTGAACACACTAACCAAATGTCAAGTTTCTCCATTTAGAAGGAATTCTATTAACTCCATGTCAAAACACTATTTACTTAATACCGACTGGTGATTTTTGCTGGCAATTACTTATCCTTACAGAATAAAAACAAAACTAAATCATCTTTTTACTTAAAAATGTTGTTCCATAAGTAGACATTTCTTTTTTCCCAAAGCAGGTGAGAAGATACTAAAAAGTAACTTGAAAACCTGAGACTTTCAATGAACTAGATGTTCTCTAAAGTCCTTTTTGGCTCTAATGCTCACAAGATTACAGAAAATTTCTCTAAGGCAATCAACTATAACAATTTATTTCACATTTAATTTTATTCTGTGGCCTCAGGAGGAAAATGCCTCACTCTAAAGTTTCAGGGGTAAAAAACAAAACAAAACAAAACAAAATATAGAATATCCAGATGAGTATTCTAAACAGTAAAGCATATTAAGGGAGGAATTTAAAAAGCTGGGAATGTCAGAATAGGAGGCAGAAATGAATTTTATGTTTTTGAGAAACAATAAGAAAGTCAAATCACCTGGAGCAGAAATGACAATAGACCTTGGGAATAGTAATAGGCACTTCTGTTCATCTGGTTGTAAATTTGGAGTTACTATGTATTCCCAGAAGGCTAAGAAGTGGGAAGGAAGGGACAGCTGCCGTTACTTATCAGCCCTATCAGTTTTAGGAATCAGTGTGGGCCCAGGTTCATGCATAGTCTGGGCATGGAAACTCAGCAACAAGTTTTCTGTTTTCAGAAGTCACTCAATTTTGGGGTATTCAGGGCAGCCATGAAACTGTTCTCAGTAAGGTAAGACTGGGATACAAACCCATCATAGCCCCTGGAAACAGAGAAGTGGGAAGGATGGGCAAGAATGGAGAGGCATGTGGAACAGAGAGTTACGTTCTTCTAAGAACACAGGGTATTGGTGGAGAGGGAAGCGATGATGACAACTCCTGGGAGAAGGACCTTTGAAAACAGAGTCCTGAATAAAGGAGCTATCTAATTTGGGCCTTATGAGAAAACTGTGCATTAGATGTCCTTTTTATCCCCATTTTTATCCCCATTTTGCAACCCCATGAAAATAAAGACCAACTGAATGAGAAAAAAGAAAGGCTATTTATTAGAGCTTCCCATAGCCAGGATGTTAGCCTCCATCACGTGCCTTTGGAGAAGACTCACAGGCAAGACAGGTGGGAAAGGTATGTAACGGTATAAAGGGGCAGCCTCAGGTGTGCCCTGATTGGAGGCTGTTCCTGTGTGGAAGTTGTAAATAGGCAAACTACAAGTGTGTATCCTTATGTGATTGCTTTGTGGTGCCTATTTGGCTTTCTCTGGTTGGTTCCAAGGTGGAAGCAGGGACAAAAGTTAGGAAAGCTATCAGGTATTCATCATGTCCAGACTATTTGGGGCCTATTGTTTCAGGGGTTATTGTTTGGCTTCCTGGATTGTTACTAGAGATAGTGGTCTGACTTCCTCTAGGTTTAACTTAGGCAGGCTTCCTGGGCTGGTTACTATACATTGGTTGGTTTGGTTTCCAAGGCTGGTTGCTATAGGTTGTGGGTCAAAGTTCTAATTTTATTTATTTATTTTTAACTTTTTTTTGTTGTTGTTACAGTTGAAACCCAATGTTACTTTAGTTTTAAGTGTATAAAAGTTCTCTTTCTCTCTTTATATATGGGCTGGCCATTGTCTATTTGTATATTGTCTTCCAATCCTTGGGTATAAGTCTGTAAAAAAGAAAGTTGGCCAAATAATTACCAATATTAACTGTCACAACCATAGTGAGGGACTGGAGTGGCTTCCATGCTGTATCTGGTATGTCAAAATGCCTAAGACAAATGACATATTCACCTATGAAATGTATACACACCCTAATAAAAGCATCAAATATCTCTTTCAAAAAGTAAATTCATTATGGGGGCACCTGGGTGGCTCAGTCAGTCAGGTGTCCAACTCTTGACTTCAGCTCAGGTCATGATCTCAGGATCATGACATTGAGCCCCATGTCGGGCTCTGGTTTTAACACAGAGTCTGCTTGACTCTGTCTCCCTCTCTAAATAAATAAACAAAATCTTAAAAAAAAATTTTTTTTTAAGTAAAGTTCACTATGCTTCTTTTCCTGCTTACTGATTTGTCCTTATGTTATGACTATGAAAAGCTATAGAAATGATTTAAGAAATAAATCATTGGTAGATCCAAGTTTTCAAAGATACACAGATTCCAAGATACACCAGAAGCAAAAGTTCTCAAAGGGCTCATTGGTAAAGGATCTTTGCAAATACTTCTTGCTTTGAAAATCCAAACATCTTCCCCTCCATAAACTGTCCCCAACACTACTTGCAGAACCAGAACATGAGTGGAGTAAATCATGGATCTGACCAGATCCATGTCCCCAAGTAACACTAGTGTGAGTCCCAGTGCCCCCATCTGTCTGCCCAGTCAAGCCCTCCCTAGGAGCTCTGACATAAATAAGTACAATACTCACGACTAGAACTTGACTAGATAGAAAATGATCCGTGTTCAAAGAGCTAACTGTCAACTGTCTATGAACCCACACGAAATGGCTCCTGAATGAAGGGACACGAGCATCATCACGGGATGATTTCAGGGAAAAGGAACTAATTCTGTTCTCTCTGCTAAAAGATCCTGATGGAAAGCAGGGCTCTGCTATAGCTACAGGATTCTGAAATTACATGAAAGCTGGCTCAGGCCAACTTTGCTGGGGGTTAGTAAGTTCTTCTGATCGGAATGTACCCAAGAATGCACCCGTCTGCTCCCTGGCTCCCAATTCCGCCAACTGGTATAATCCATTCAAGCCCAAAGACCCCTAGCTCAAATACCAATTCTCAGAAACACCATCCCTGACTCGTCCTGGCATGGATCAACTTGCCCTTTGTCTCCATGGAGCTTTGTGCAGAATGTTAAATAAACACCTACATTGTGGGATTACAGCAATTTTTTTATACAATGTTTATGTCCCTCACTCAACTCTGAGTTTCTTTAAGGCAAGTTTGTGCCTTATTCATCTTTTTTTTCCTCAGTATTTAGCATGTAAGTGTGCACCTCACAAAATCCAGTAAGGAAAGTGTGATTATGATAGCCTCATTGAGGACACAGGTTCCAAGAGATCAATTATTTGCCTAAGGTCATAAGGCTAAGCGCTAACAAGAACTAGTCTCTGTCCCATTTCTTAGCAGTTTAAAAAGTTTTCATGACATCTTTTGCCTCTAATAAGCTCTAAATGCTGCCTCACCAAAGCAGTCAAGACAACTTCACAATGTTCCGGATTAGTCTGGGTATGAACAGCTCGTTTCGTGATGTAAGATATGTGCTTGAATTCATTAACACCAGCCCTGATGCTCACTACCTGTGGTCATAAGCAGTCCTCTTGTTCTCTCTTTTTCTCCTGTGAAGAATACACAAGCTCATTTCTTGTCAAGTTTCTTCAGTGTTCATGTATTAATTTTTTTTAAGATATTATTTATTTATTTGACAGACAGAGAGATCACAAGTAGGCAGAGGCAGGAGAGAGAGAGGAGGAAGCAGGCTCCCCGCTGAGCAGAGCGCCCGATGTGGGGCTCAATTCCAGGACCCTGAGATCATGACCCGAGCCGAAGGCAGAGGCTTTAACCCACTGAGCCACCCAGGTGCCCCACATGTATTAATTTTTAATAAGAAAGGAAGATCGGTATCTAGCTGGCAGCTGAAGGAGAAAGGGATCACAAGCACAAGCGAGAGCGTAGGGTATAAATTCCATGCCTGCAGCCTCGTCCGGAACTCAAAGGACAAGTGCTTTCTGTTTAATCTGCAGTGTTTAGCACAGAAGACCTCTGCAATGGATGGGTATGAATATTCCACTCGTTAGGAAAAGAAACCCCTGCTGAGAGGAAGGAATATTTATTTTATCAGTCCCTGCATTGGCCCAGCTGAAGTAAACCCTTCGTTCTAACTTTACATCCTCAAAGCAACCTCCTAATTGTCATTTTCTTCCCAAGTGAATGTTCCCTCGGGGAGAGGGGCACTGATCAAAAACCCTGAATATTTTTATTTGCAAGATATGCACAGTCTGTATTATAAATGAATAAACTGGCATTCAGTTTTATACACCAAAGGAAAAATAAAATATGTAAACAGCAAAGTGTCTCGTAGTTCTGACAGGATTTCTCCTTAAGCCATCTTTCCTACTCTTTTTCTTGTGACGGCTCCTACCTCCCCTCCCCCAGCTGCTCTCCGTCCCCTCTGGATGGTCTTTCTCCACTCTACTCTGGCACAGAATCATCACGAAGTCCCCCAACACCATACTGGAACATTTGGGCAGGGAAAAGGAAAAAGCCTTACTAATGTGTAATATTTTCTGTTGTATTTAATAAGAACTATTTCTGCTCCCTTAGCTCTCCTGCTAAGGTAGACGTGACTTTACTTCCTAGACCTACACAGTTCTCAGCAAACTGAACAGATCATCTGAGGGTATCAGAGGGTGCCAGATACTCACATTTTCTGACCGGAGCCTCTTGGCTGGACACCCACCATCCCTGGGGTGAAGCATGTAATACAGTCGGACTTTGCTTGCATGTTTTCGACTCTGGGAAGGAAAAGCAGAAGCAGATACTATGAAAGAGAAGGCATTTTAAATCCTCAGACACATAGCCTGTGACTGTATATGCAAAGTAGTAAAGTTTCATTAAAAACACTTCCACATGCTCCTGAGAATTATGCAGGGTGAAGATTCAGATAGGTTAAGCGACTTGCCCAAAGTTACAAAGCCAACATAATTTCAGAATTAGAAAAGACGGTGAAAGAAGAAAGTTAAAAGCACTGGGATGTTTAAGCCTGGAGTGAATCACATATTTAATTATCCTCAAAATAAGAACAGGTCAGAGAGAGAATAGTGCAAGGATGGGCTGTGATGGAAGGCCAGGTCCCCGGCCTTGTCTCGAACTCCCTCTGTCCTGCCCTAAGGAGCTGGGGACAGACAATGCCCCCTGGGAGTCGGCAAGCATAGTATCTCCAACAGAAGTCTCTTTGTCTGGTTCTCCCATTTTGGAGCCTCATTAATAAGCTATTAAAAAAGATTTTCCAGATCAGACATCATGGGCAAAAAAGGATATCAAATGCAAGTCTGAGGATTGATCAGAGCCCAAACTGCGTGCAAGTAGGCAGAGCAGGTCAACCATAAAGCCCCATCAGCCACAGGGTTAGCAGGACCCTGGGTTTCTACCTGTACTGACGTGTCCAGGCCCAGCATGGAGAAACTGATCACATCCTAGTTCCATCTTCCCTCCACTCCTTTGCTCCACTGAGAGCCCTCCTGAACTCCCCCCAACCCTTTAAAGAACCATGAGAGACTGTGGGCTCTGAGAAACAAACTGAGGGTTTTGGAGGGGCGGGGGGTGGGGGATGAGTGAGCCTGGTGGTGGGTATTAAGGAGGGCAGGGATTGCATGGAGCACTGGGTGTGGTGCATAAACAATGAATCTTGGAACACTGAAAAAAATAAAATTAAATTTAAAAAAAGAAAAAAAGAAAGAACGCTACAGTTCTAATTTCCAAGCTGCTACCTGAGGGATGGCCGAGTGACAAGAGCACAAATAGTTCCAAGTTCAGAAGCCAGGCACGGCTCTGAGGCTCTCTGGCTGGGTGATATTGAGCAAGTCAGTCTAATTTGTTTATAGCTAAAATGAGTCTCATCTTCTCTGCGTACAAAATGAACATAATATTTATTAGGGTTTTGCTGGGAGAATCAAATGAGGCAGTGCATGTGAAAAACTGCAATCCACATAATGCTTAACTTAACGTGTCTCACCAGCGTGGGCACCAATCCTGAACTCTGAATCTACAGTGCTAGGATGTGAATTCTCCTTGAATCCATCGCTACCTAATTCTGATCCCCGAATCCTCCCTTTGTTCAGGACTGAATTCCTCCTTCTCCAGGCCTTGGTTCAATTTTGTCTTTACTTACAGTCAGGGACCAGCCAATCTCATGCATGATGGCTTGCCTTCACAGATTAGCCACAAAGGCAAAGCAAGCAGGCAGAGCAGAGAACGTTTCAGAGAATGCACAGCAAATTGCAACTTGTTTACAGGACAGGATATGATGTAAATCCCTCAGCCTGGTTTTCCTTCTTTATCACTTTTTTCATTCCTTTATTGTGCTTCTAAAAACATGGTTCTAACAGACACGAAAAAACGTTCATCGTCACTAGCCATCAGGAGGATTCAAATCAAAACCACATTGAGATACCACCTTACACCAGTTAGAATGGCCAAAATTAGCAAGACAGGAAACAACATGTGTTGGAGAGGATGTGGAGAAAGAGGAACCCTCTTACACTGTTGGTGGGAATGCAAGTTGGTGCAGCCACTTTGGAGAACAGTGTGGAGATTCCTTAAGAAATTAAAAATAGAGCTTCCCTATGACCCTGCAATTGCACTACTGGGTATTTACCCCAAAGATACAGATGTAGTGAAAAGAAGGGCCATCTGTACCCCAATGTTCATAGCAGCAATGGCCACGTTCGCCAAACTGTGGAAAGAACCAAGATGCCCTTCAATGGACGAATGGATAAGGAAGATGTGGTCCCTATATACAATGGAGTGTTGTGCCTCCATCAGGAAGGGTGAATACCCAACTTTTGTATCAACATGGACGGGACTGGAGGAGACTATGTTGAGTGAAATAAGTCAAGCAGAGAGAGTCAATTATCATATTGTTTCATTTATTTGTGGAGCATAAGGAATAACACAGAGGACATGGGGAGATGGAGAGGAGAAGTGAATTGGGGGAAACTGGAGGGGGAGACAAACCATGAAAGACTGTGGACTCTGAGAAACAAACTAAGGGCTTTGGAGGGGAGCGGGCTGGGGGGATGGGTGAGCCTGGTGATGGGTATTAAGGAGGGCACGGATTGCACAGAGCACTGGGTGTAGTGCATAAACAATGAATTCTGGAACACTGAAAAGAAATTTTTTTAAAAAAGGAAAAAATTTTTAAAAAGTAAAAAAAAAAAACAGTCATTGAACACTTTCAAGGCCTTTAAATGGGTTTAAAAGTGCTAATGGAACATGAAAGATATTACAGATGCATAAAAGTACTGAAGTGTGATTTTGAAATATATTTGTAGCCATTTCTAGGTTGCACTGTAAGTTGTAATCAAGGGTTACCTGGAGTCTCGTTTGCCCGTGAGATTGGCAGGATGAGAAATAGAGACCTGTGTGGACTTGTGCCAGATCATTTCAACAGCACTGTTCAGCTTCTGCATGCTTTTGAGAATGATGCAGTGCAGACTAGTGACGGTTTTTTGCAGAGAATTATGTTGATGACTAAAATTTATATACATTTTCTAGTTTTGTTTTGTTTTGTTTGTTTTTTTGGAGGAAGGGGCAGTGGGAAAGTTAAGAATATGCCTACAGTCAAAAAAAGAAAAAAGAACATTTAAAAACCTGCAAAATGCTGAATATGGTCCCAGAGGCTGGGCTGGGGAAAAGCACAACAGACCAGTACTTAGCGAAAAGACAAAGTGATACCAGCATGAGCTCAAATGTGGCTGAAGTGGGCTTTCCATGTTGCATTTGTCACCCTAGAAGAATGGATCTCAGTACCTAACACCATCAATCTGCTCAAAGCCCTGGATTCCCAGAGAACAAAATCATTGAAAAATTCCAAAAACTGGAAATCTTATAATGCATCCTGTTTTGTGGTTGGATTTCTTCTCTTTGCTAAAATATTCCATTTCTTTCAAAAAGACTCTTTCAGGCAAAGGCAGAGTTCACTGGGTTATTTAACTGCAGTTGGACAAAACTGGTAAAAAAAACCATTAGATGAACAGAAAAGGGAAGTATATGGTAAGCTCTGCCGTGAAGCCATCAGTGATGAGAGATATTGGAATCGAAGTCTTATTAGCAATCTTGCTCATTTTTCTCCTTCAGCTCTCCCAGCCTCCAGTTTTGATGGAAGAAGGACTGACGGCCCTCCAAGTTCTGCCTTTGCCCCTGTGTACGGGTGAAGAAAAACAGAGCTTCGGAAAATCCCACCTCATTCTGGAATGATGGTGGAGGCATTCTGGTTCATCATTTAGCTGTTTTCCTATTGCCTCTGTCCTCCTGGTCCTTTTCCCAGACTGCCGGGGCTGGACCCAGTGCCACACAAGCGCACCCTGACTTAGGGCAGGAAGTAAAAACCCAGAAGACAGTCCACTTCTCAGTAATGGGAGTGTGGAGTCATTCCCTTCCAGTTAGACTGACTGAAACCCCAAAAGCCACTCCCAAACGATGTCAATTGACAAGGATAAAGAGATTGCTAGCCGATGGCTCCCAGGCACCCTAAACTCGCCTGCCTCAGCCCTGGGGTCTTCAACACCTGGGTGCGGCTCATCTAGTGAGTCCTCTCCTTCCTTCCTGGCATTCTCACCTCTTCCTCAAAGCGGGACACACTGAGTCGCCCTCAGCATCTTCCTCCAACAGGCTCCTCTCAACTCCTTACCTACCAGAAATTGCTTGAACTTTGGCCTGGTAACCTCACTCCTTCGAACTGATTCCAGAAACAAACAAACAAACAGAAACTTTCCCACAAAAAAGTTAGACTTAGATTTGAGTGAAGATGTTCATTGCAGCATGACGAACTAGGAACAGCAAATTGGGGAGACAATTACATGTTGGACAAGAGGCTGTATGTTCAGTGGGAAATTGAAGAAGTGCTTTCTACCTAATGCATGCTGGATGGAAAATGCTAAAACAAAAACTGTTCGCATACTGTGATTAAGATTATATAAATATCTGTAAGTATATCAATAAGAAGTGGAAAGGAAAAAGAAAAGCATGATTTATTAAGGAAGAGAAAGTATGGATGATTTTCTTTATTTCTACAACAAATTTTCCCTTACCATAAAAGTAATAACTTCACAATGCTCAAGCCATTGTAATTGCAATGTAATTCCATTGTACATCTACTTTCTACTCATAATGATAGTAATTAGTAAACAGCACACTGATCTGAAATGCTTTTATACTCATAAGTTCATATACTGATATAGTCGACCACATTTCCATCTACCCTTGCTAATTTCTTATCAACATTCAAAATGCATTGCATTTTTTTCACTGTGATACTTGGTGACTAGATAAGCCTACTTAACCCAAGAGCAATACATATTAACTTAACTTTTAAAACTTTGTTTTGGTACATACAAAGGCCACGGTAAACATGTGTCCTCTTTACAATGTGGTCATTCCATTTCCTATATATAAACGAAGATTATGGGCACAGTGGACAAATGCTGTCTAGAAACGAAACTGGAAGAAAAACCACTTCTGAGATGTATTTATGTCATCCAAATAAATACGAACAACAAAAACAAATCCTTATGATTTGTTAATACCTAAAATATGCACTTCTTTTAAGAGTTTAAAAAGACAAATTACCAACTAAAGCAAATATAAGGAGTAAAAACTACCTTACATGTTAAGTGTATATATTACAGAGTTTCGGGGAAGAAAAGAGTCATTTCTTCAAGGGAAAAGCCATGAAAAAGAAATCTCTCTCGCTTCCACCAAAAGTCAGTCCCTGGCTCTCGCATTAATATTTGCA